TATATATGTATATATAACACATACAATTTGTAATACGATTAGTTCATACAAAATTTATATGTTCGTTGCTGTTTTGTGTACTGCGTATGCAAGTGTTGTGATTGAAAAATGGCCACCTTCAGGGGACCATCTGAAATGATGTAATAATGATTAGCTTGTTCAACCCGTCTTATTTATGACATAAGATTCTGTAGTGGTGAAGCCCTGCATATGTAAATGCTACGCTGTCACCGCACCGAAGTTATCCAAGTATTCAAAGTCGCACTTGGCACATGGTAGTTTTTAGTCACTCTTTCGTAAAAAAAAAGCGGTATTTTCAAAATTTCTTCCGGCTAAAGAAACAAGCTTATTTCGTCCTTAAATTGAGCCCGAAATTATTTATTTCATCTATAAGATTTTTACTCGAGTTGAAACGACTCAGCTCTGGATTTTTGCTTCAATTAGTCAAATACTAACGGTAGGCTGATAAAAAAAAAAGGATATAAAATATTGCAGAAGTTAGCAATTAAAGAAAAGTATATGGAAATTTTGAAGGAATAATGGTGGTTTTTCGCTTTAAGATTGGCGGATGTTTTTCACCAGACTCACGGAATATCTTTTCCACCTTTCTAGCCATAGGAAACCGCTGTAGGAAGAGGGCATATTGTGACGTGTACAATGGACACGAAAAAAAATCAAAGAGTATAAATGCTCAGTACCTGCTGAAAAAAAAATAAGATGATTTTGGAACGTAGTTATTTGTCTCGTACGAAAATCATGTCATTATAGTAGACAAGAATGACAACAGCGAAGATAGATGTCCACACACTGGTACCACTTCACATTTTAGCGCCGTGCTGTCAACTGTAGACGATTATATTTTTGCTTTTTTTAGGCTCTACCCATCTGTCGTATTTGTGACCGACGTCCTTGTTGTTGTGCTTGCAGCAAATACACTGAGTCTTGTATGGCTCATGTTGTTACAAGTTAGTAATTACAAGTCATAAGTGGAAAGCTGTTGAATAACTTTCGTGATATCTGTTTTGTTGTCCACTGTGTTGTGGCTAGCAAGCGTTGCCTAGCGACAAACGTCAGTCTGAAAAAGCAATTGCGCTGACACTCTTGCGTTTTGCCCTTGGTGGACGCACATACACAATTTGCTTTAACTCGCATATAACTCCCGTACATCGTACGCACGTGCGACTAGTTCTGCTTATATTAATTATTACTCTGTGTCTGTGTTTATCTCTATCTATGTCCCTTATGCCTTGTTAGAAATCGTTTTATTTGTTTTTGTCTTTCGCCTATATTCGTTTCGCCATGTTCTCTTATTTTTCAGTCTTTTTTTTTGTTTCAACATGTTTTTTGTCTTTTCAAGTTTTGCCTTTTCGTGAATAGCTTCTCCAACTCATCCGCGTTACCATTCATACCTCACCGTATATTTTTTGTTTTTCATTTTTATCGATTCTACATTGACCTGAGTGTATTATCTAGATACGAATTACTGACCCTGACTTGAACGCATGATGTCCAAGGGATTGGTCGAACTGTTTGCTACTCTGCGACGAAAATGTGTAGCTGAATTCTTTCATCGTAAAGGATGGCGATAACTTTTGTAATCATCCTTAGGTAAGTCATTTGCTAGATTACTCGTTTATTGATGAGTCAGCCAACTGAGTGGAAGCTACATAGATGAAAAAAATCGTCCGCTCGATTCGATCAAGGCCGCATAGTTATCCGAATTACCATTTCAGCTTGCCAGTCCATTGCCAAATATAGAAGGGTTGGAGCCGAGCGACTCCCGCAAGACAAGCAACTCATGCTCTGGCAAAAGCATCTGGCAAAAAGAAGTTATTCACGAAGGTTGCCGTTTACGATCTCGACGTTAGAAAGGCGCCAAGAGCCAATGCACCGATCGCCACGCCCGCCACTCCACAAAACGCGTTCCGAAAAATAGGCCACACCGAAGCGTAATCATCGCTCCCGCTTCCTTCATGCTCCTCCTTGAACTGTATGAGTCCCGCCTGGAATAAAGAGAAAACAGCAAAAAATAGTATAGATCAGTGTTGATATAGGCGAAATGAAGGTTTGTCCGTTTGAGAGGCCGTATTTGTAGAATTTGCATGTGGCGAAGATTTCCAAGTGTAGAGACGTCTGACTTTATATCAAGCGGTTATAGTTCTAACATAGTGTTAATAAGCATGGAAAAATTCTATTATTGTATTATGGGATGACTGGAACATAATTAGCAAATTTCAGTTATATATATAACTATAATATATATACACAGGGTGTTTCAAACTTAAATAGTGATTAAATTAGACAGTTATTTTTTAAAGAACAGTGACTGGTGCCAACTATTTAGATTGAGTGCTAAAATCTGTTTTATTATCCATTTGCAAAGACTTCGGTGTAGATGGTGAATTTTGTCTTCTAAACAGATATGTTGGACGAAAATGTGCCGAAAAAATAGGTTATCCAGCCCCTTTTCGAGACCTGGCATCGATGGATTTTTTGTGCATCAGAAGACCTCAAAGCCACAATCGAGTTTGTGAACCAACAGCTCACCGTTATCGACAAGTATTGATTAGGACAGTAATAATTTTGAGTATCTGCAGTAAAAGGTAACGCTATATATTTCGTGTAATTTTTTTGTAATGTAAATATATAAATAAAAATTTATGTTGCAATCATTCGAATAGTATATCATTTTTTATATCATATATATACACACATAACTGTAATACACATACATTGCTGGGAAAAGTTACTTGATAATTACAGAATTTCAGACTCTTTCTATTACTTTCTACTCAATTTCACTCTGTTGCTACTTCAGCAAACGTAAAATGAAAATGCTCAAACTGTCAAGCATCTCTCTCAAACTGCCTAACCTTATATATATAGGCATATACCGACATTGTCAAATTGTCACTATGATGAGCATAGTACACCTAGTTACCATCTATAGGTAGCAACCTATCCTCGCATCTGGAAGGCATTTCCTGTCATGCCAACAAAGCAGTCGAAAAACGTCAAGGCCGACCGAACGTCCTAGCTCATCCGTACGGGTATGCCTGAAGTCAATGGGGTGGCCTAATTTTTGTAGCATTTTTAAGTGCCCTGCTATGGCAACCATAACTAACAAGCATGCTGCCATGCTGGTTCAAATCACAGAATCGGAAAAAATTATTATCATATGTAAATAATCAAGAGAATGAAAGATTAGGAAGGAAATATATTATTATTATAATATATAATATAGTAAGGTTGCCGTGCCGTTTCGTAGGTCTGTTACGAAATTCACGCAAAATCCACTTCGGTTAGACCACAATAAAGGCGAGTTTTTAATGTTATACCTAAAAATAGGTGATTCTGAAAATTTATTTACATAAAATCTTTAATACATTTGACCATTAAACAATACTTGATTAAGACAAATAAAATAAAATTTCTTATAATTTTCGCATAGCAATTTCCATCCAAATCGAATTTCAAGCTCATAGAAAAACTATATCCCGTCTTTGTTTAGGCCTTTACAAATATACGGCGTTTGTTCGCGTACCTTTAAGGGATTGTTATATTATGGGAGTAATGGGAGTTCCTACGGTAGCTCCAAATGATTGCCCTCCCTCTTCCTTGATTTACCTTCCTAGTCTACTCACTTTTCAAAGCGGTGATCATCAATACGCCCAAGAGCAACAACGTCATCAAGCAAAGACCACCATGAAGAGGACATCTCATGTCCGCTTTCGTGTTATTGCCAAGCGTTGTGGGAGCGTCGTGGTTCGGCCTGCCCCCAAGGGAAGCCGACATAAGGGCGTTTGCCGTGGTAGCGTTTGAGCTAGCAGTGTTGAGAGCGTCGACACCGTCGTAGCGATTCAGCAGTAGGTTCAAATAAGTTGGTATGGTATCAGGCGACATAAGCTGAACTATGGGGACAGCACATCGATTGTGTCTGTTCACAGTAAGCGCACTGTTCGCATCATGCACGAGATGATGAGCTTCTTTGGTCTCTTACAGTGACTGGTGAAACGATTGGTCAGCATTAGTTCATGCAAGTTATCATTGGTATCTTTCCTTTCGACTTTCCACTAATCGCCGTCGTACTCATCAGTACAATCACTATCGTTACGAACTTGCTTATTGATTCTCAATAGCAGTATTGAATAACATCTGGTTCGACGAGCTGGCTGGATAAAGGCCGAAGCCCCACGATATGGAAAGGCGTCGCAAAATCAAAACGGGATTGACATGTCGAAATACACGAGACAAACAGAGAAAAACCTTGGCCGTACCAATCTCAACGAACAAAGTCAAACTGCAGATATTACCTAGAGAAAACGCATTACATAAACTGTTACAGCAGTAAAAACTGGATCGTTCAACAGAAATATATCGTAGTTGTTTGATTTTGCTGTTATGATCGGATCCCATTAGCCTCACGCATCGTAGGTTTGCCGGTGTGTGTCGAATCTTGATGTACATCGCGCTTAGCGCGTCGTACAGCGCTCTAAAACGCGGAAGGAAAAAAATGAAAATGCCCCCACGACCTCGTGATCAAACCAGAATTTTTCTCAGGCCTCACTGCCGAGCGGTGTGCACCACACGATACAGTATCGTGGCTAAGTCTCGATCAATGTATTATGTGTCAGTACGACGCATCGATGGCTGATGCCCTCTTAGTTCAACAACAGGTGAGGTTCTTTCCACGGGAAAGGAATCAACGAGCAAAACTGCTCGAAGAGAAACAACGACGAGACATAACTACCTGTCCTAGAGGCGATAAATAGTACTTTGAAAAAAAATTACATGGATGAGGATATGTAATAAAGACAGGCAAATGGGTTGAAGAAATCGGCTACAACATCAAGATGTAGTTACATAAAATTGTGGTCACCTTTATTTTATTTCGGCATGTACTCCAAAAAATCAGGTTGGTGTAGGCGTGTCAGCATTACAGTTTTGTGTATCTAAGGATAATTTTTTTTACCTGTTAGATGATCAATGATAAATCAGAAGGGAGACATCATTTAAACTCGTTGTCCATTGGGGTTTAGTAAAATTGCTGCTGGTGCACGATCAAGGCCTATTAGAGCTTTATAGTGTCGTCACCCCTGGCTTTGTTTCCATTGGAAAGTTAATACAAAATTTAACAACGAACAACATGATAGGCACGTCCGTCTGCACTGCAATGAAAAGAAGAACTAATCACATCGCGCTGAAGTGATGCTTCGAATCTATAATCGGACTACACTTCGCGTGGCTTTTAATGCGTGTATATAATCGCGCGTCATTAAGTTAGCTTGGCAACAATTGAAAGGATATTAGACGGCAGTCTTAGTGTACTTAAGTGACCACAGAATCGTGTCTACCAAACCGACGCTTTCTTAGAAGGTAGCTCAAGACAGGCAGCACCTTTGTCGAATCCGTGAAAGTCCAAAATATTTTAAACATTGAGGTCCACTGGGTACCTAACGTTCTCAAACAACGTCAAACTATTGAAGTTGAAGAATAATCGAGAACACGTTACATGAGTCGGATGATTCAAAGCCGAACAAGCTCGATACCTTCATATCAGTCTCACCGGACCGCTATTCATACCAAAACAGTCGTGAACAGATTTCAGAGAAATGACCAGATCCGGGTGGAGTTAAGCACAACACTGCGCATCGCTTACGAACATCAATTTTACAACGACTGATCCGACTCGAAACAAATAAACGCGGTATTACAACAAATAAACGTTGCCATTTTCTTAACGTTGTTACCGCTCCTGCATGGCGGTCCGGCTGGGGTCTTTCCCAAATAACATCCTCAGTAGCATCTTACCACAAAGTTGTTCTTACTGATTCTGATGGTAACGATAGTCACGTTATGGGGTGTGAATGAGGATTAGTTTTTTAGCCTTTACCATCTCACCGAGATGAGAACTTCGCTAAATTTAACGATGGGTTCAATGGACAAAAACAAGCCTAAGAGCTCAACAACAGCTCGATTACGAGAATATCTATTGTAAGACAGATGCTCAGCTTGGCATACCACTACTTGAAATTTGTCGACCCAGTCGTTATCAAATCTTCAAATCTGCTAAAGTAAAATTCACAGAAGGCTTCACAGTGAAAAATCAGAGTTTTTAGAATTCCAAAAGTAAGCTCTGTTATGAATCCACAAATGTGCTATAAAGTGGATATGCGAATGGCTTATTTTATAGTAACCATAACTAATTAAAAAGTGGCCAGATATGCTTGTCGAGAAGACTGAGTTGTTTCCATCGATGCATACACGTATATTGCATAAATATAAATTCGATCAAAAAATCGTCAAGAGAACGAGGCAAATGATCTTTCGAATTTTTGCAGATCATGCACGTAGCAGTCGCTAGTTGAGACGTCCTGAGACCTCCCTACATCAACTTTTGTTATTTTAAAGAGATGACACACTAAATCCAATACAGATCTATTAAATGGCTACGCATTATCTCAAAGCTAGGAAAATAATTATCACATATTTGTATTGACTATAACCAGTCCATAATGATTTTATAATTAAGCCTTATTACGTGTTCCAAATGCGATCTAGCGGCATCCTCGTTGTTTATTTTCAAAATTAACTATTCGCTTATTCGCGAATGAGATTAGTATTACTCTCATCTAAAAGGACCAATAGTAAGTTATTAATCGATCTGATTTCGTCGATGCTCGCCCACCTCTATGTCATTGTTTAAATCTGATCCAAAGAGATCATCTTCGTTGACACTACATACACAAGTAACTTGTCTCAATGGTATCACGACTCTTATCATAACTCTTACTGAATGCACTAGTATGTATACATACACTATGGACCATAAGCAAAACTGTAGATATACTTTAAAATAAAACTTATATTTATGAACTATTTATACTATTAATAATATTCGAACGCAGAAGCGTTGATATTCTTATCTTTTATATCTTTCACACACATTTTATGTAACATATGTCAATAACAACATTATCGATGGTGTCGTTACCGACCAAGT